CACGCTTTAGCCTGATTGTTTAAATTTTTCAAATAATCATTATTTTGTACAAAATTTTTAATTTTTTTTTTAATTTTATAAACAAATGGAAATATTTATTACATCTCGATCAGATTTTTTTTTTCGTTTACATTGAATATCAATCCTTATTCTATAATACATTATTTAAAAGGGGAAAAAACACGGAAACTTGCACGGAGTCGTTAGTTATTAATTTTGTTCGCTCCTGCCACGGGTGCTTTTGCCTTCATGACGCGTGCCGAGCGGACTCGCGGCGAGCGTGGTGCAACCAGAGAACGCAAAAAATAAAATTTATTTATAAACATAAGCATAGATTATTTAGTACAATATTTTTAAAAGTTGTATACATAAATATGTACATACATAACATGCATATTTATATATCTACGTATGCATATATTTATGCATGTATTTTGTCTTTACAGAGAGTTAATAACAATAACTCTTGTAAAACTTCGAATTTCGCAAAATTGTTCAAATTATATTTTTTTATGGTTGTAAACCGAATAAAGGGATTTGTGCGAAAAAATCTTGACCGTCCAATTTTGGGTGACCCACTTGAGAGATTTTCACTCTATATCTATGTAATTTTTAAGCATACAATTTGTGGAAAGCGGAATGCTTAAATTAACCAATATTCCATCACATTTACTGATTGGGCCCATATTTTTGTGAGTTATGGACGTTATAGTGATCGAACCTTCCCCATATTTTGTATTTTGGTCTTTCTAATAAAAGAGAGTAGAAACTAAATTTCATCGAGATTGGATGAAATTTAATGCTTCCGCCCATATTTCATAATTTCCTATTTCTAAGAATCTTAAAGCACACGTCCAGTGTCGGCTAAATCGGTGCACGTTTACTATTCTTTCCACCTGTTTTCATACAGTTGAAACTCTATGCGGTGTTGCGTCTTGAAGTTGGGTGCTGAAGACAGAAAGAAAGAAAGAGGAAACGGAACTAGGAGTGAGAGGAAATGAGAAAACGGCAAAACTGTGACTAGGTAATTTGGGATGACAGTAAAGGTATTTGAGACATGCAGATCGCGAACAAATCACATAGGTACATCTTTGCTCTTTGCTAGTATACACTTTCTCGTTCATGCCTTGGGCGAATGTGTTTGAAGAAGTATCACACTTGATATGTACAAGCACCCTATGCAAAATTATTTGCTCAAATGTGGCTTCGTGCGGATAACATATTAATCTAGATAAGACACCTCAGATGATTCCAACTGGAAACCTGAGAATTCTTGCTAATTTGGCGGCACTGAAAAAAGGGAGCAATATATACTTTTTCCTCGATTTGAAAGCTTGCAGCTTTTATTTATATTTTTTTCTGGCATAATTAACTAAATAATAATTGTAATTCTTACTTACCCGCACAAAGATCAACACCTTTGTATCTCCAATTCTGTACTTTCCCTCCGACACGCGCACCATTGGGAATTGGGACGGGCATGTGCATTTCTCCACCAAATCTCGAACCTGTAAGAAAAAGAGAAACAAGTATTTAAATATAAAATTAATATAAACTGTAATTAAGTATAACTAGTTTACAAGGAAGCGGCATAAGACTTTGATGCGATCGCATCAATCGGTAATTTTCCTAAGAAAATAAATCGTCAGTGGGATAAAACTTTTTGTACGCATCAAACCACGTAGCATCATTAATTTTGTGCAAATTAAAAATTGCGGCATCTCATATCCATTATAAAGCCTTTTCATGCCACCCAACCTATTTGCTGTCCAGTTGTGTGTGCCTCCTGTAGAAACGAACAAACGTTTGTATTAACAAATTTGCTAACGAATTGCCATTTCTACTTTTCTGTCATCTCAACAAATGCAAGCATTCCGGTAAATAATTCAAGAAGCATGCAACATTGCTGAACAAAGCGCCAAGATAGTTGCCACCGCTGAACTGTGATCATCAACCACATCAGTGCCTAACATCAACTGTGCGCAAAGCCTATTAGCGATAATGAACTGATGGCGCATGCGTCTACTTCACTGACGAAGCAATGGTTGCTGCTGTTGCTTTGGTCGACACCAATAAAAAGCTATATACCAGTGCTTCCCAAAGTGGTCCAGGTGGACCCCCAGGGGTCCACGGGAGACTCGACAGGGGTCTACGTTGGCGTGAAAAAAAATATGAGGGTCCACGAGTTGTAAGTGGGGGTCCACGAAAATTCATCTACACTATATTGTAGAATCTTCACTGATGGCTCCAAAACTGACTCAGGGTCAGGATCTGGAGTATTTTTCGAAGCTTATGGGGATAAGCTTCACTTTTGCTCTTGGGAAATATGCTTCGGTCTTTCAGGCTGAGGTATTTGCAATCCCCAAAGCCATAGACTACGAGGGGGCAATTAAGTTGAGGGAAAGGAGTTTACGTGTCTACAGGTACAGCCAAGCTGCACTTAAGGCATTGGCCATCGCTCTATCTAAGAACTTCCAAAACTAGTTCGGCAATGCAAGTCTCGACTACATTATGTTGGTAAAGATAACGAGCTTGCTTTACTCTGGGTGCCGGGCAAATCGGGAGTGCCTGGAAATGAGACATCTGACCCTTTGGCCACAGTTGGCTTAGACTAGGCATTCCTCGATTTGCAGCCAGTTATAGCATTCCGCACTTCGACCATTGAAGTCACCATCAGAAACTGGGTGGATACTTCGCTCTGCAATGACTGGGAGCCGTCGAGTGGATGCGGGTGGGCAAAACTCATGTTACCTTCAATCTCAGAAGGTCTATCTAGTTTTCTCCTCTCACTGAGAATCCGGGACGGACTGCTCACTTCACGTGGCACAAACTGACTGTGATAGGCGTAAATGACACCTCCATTTGCCCATCCTGCTTTGAAGAGGATGAGATGGTGGAACAGTTCTTGCTTGCTTGTTTGTTTTTCATCGATTTATCTAGATTAGGTCTTTTCTTCTTTGTCAGTTTCTGAATTTGAAGTTTGGCGTAAAAAGCTTTGCAGCTTTGTTGCTTGAAGTTTTGTGTTTTTAAAATGCGAGTGACGAATATTTTTCGCATCACTTTAAAATTTGGAGCGATAAGAATAAAAATGATGCCATCAACACAAATAAATTATTTGACAAATACATGACATGCAAATTAATGAGTGAGCCGAACATGTAAGGAGTTTATTTAGTACTCTTAAAAAATATAACTCCTCAGAGAGAGATAGTACTTTGGTGGCTTTACGAGCTCTATTTTTTAAAACTTGTAAGTGTGTAATCACATACTTTTAATAAATAGAACACAAGAAAATATTTTATTTTTGCCACTCCGAATTTACTTTTGGTGCAAAATTACATCGTTAGATTTAATCTTCACATTTTTTGATGAGCTTTGGGAATATGTTCAGTGTTGCCGCTGTGCGGCTAAAGGGGCAATTTGACCCTTTTTAGGCGTCAATACCCTTTGACCCGACCTTTTGAAAATTTGTATTTTTCGACCCTTTTCCAAAATTATGTCCGAGTTTTGCCCTTGCAGAACCATGCTATTAAAAAATATTTCGTCCTGTAAGTACGAAAAAATGCACCACCTAAAACTTTTAAAGGAATGCAACTCTTCTCCTTGCAGGAACTCGATTTCTATGTTTTGTTTAAAGCTTGTCCTGCTATTTTCTTCTTAAATTTAACAGCGGAACGTTCTAGCAGCGAAAACACTTTATAATACATGTAAATTTAATTTTAACTTGGGATCTCAGATTTATTTTTTTTACTAGTAAAGAAAAGCAAAAATTATATGGTGACCCTTTTTTTCGTAAATTACCCCTTTTTTGCGACTTTCTGCAAATTCTCAACGGCAATACTGAATATGTTAGAAATGAGCATCAGGGGGTCCACGGAAACCAGCAAAATCTTGAAAGGGGCCTACGAGAAAAATAAGTTTGGGAACCTCTGCTCTATACGGTTGCAGTGCGGTTGCTTTTGTGGTTGCCCAGTAGTGGCATGGCAAAGCGTTGAAACGCTGAACTCTTGAACTGGCGATGAACATCGTTACGAATGTTGCTTATGAGATGATGCCGCTGCGCATAATTTCACTCGCCTCTGTTTATTTAAACAAATAACCGGACAAATGCCTGTTCGTGCAGCCATTTACAACGACGAATACGATTGCCTACAACAACTACGTATGCGCGTAAAACATTAATAAAACAAGTACCAAACATCTATGGCCCTTTGACCTTTCCGTCTTTCATTCCGTAAATCTTTTGTGCACGCGCTGTAATTACCATCCGAAGTCACACTTGAATAGTGTTAGCTGATGTGTTTTGAGTTTAAATAAAAACAAGCAAAGAATTTAAATGTGTCATTACGCTCCTAGGGAAAGGCAGTCATAAGGAAAGTTTCAAAAGGACTATTTTCGGCAGCTAAGTTTTGGCAGTCACCGAACTAAATACATATCTTGTATCCACAACATGGAAAAGATGGCACAGATCGCGGTTCGCTAGCCCGTTCTTGATCGATTTGATTAAATTGGAGCGCCAAGCGTTGCTTTATAATGCGGCATAATTTTTGACGATTTCTCATTTCCTATCGTTTTTATTCTCGTTTCCTCTTTCACTATTTTGTCGTCCCGCTTTTTTTCCGTCTTCTGCATACGACTTCAACACGTAACGCCCTGTCAAAAATGAAAATTCCTAGCTAGCGCTACGTTATTGTGGGATGCTTCATACAAATTATATGACCATGATGATTTTTGACCGTCTTTTTAGGGATGGCAGTATGATGTAATTTTGGTTCCCTTTCTCCCATATTTTACAACGCTTTTATCAACTTGCAATGTTGTGCGTCCAGAAACTTTCAATGTTGTGGATCCAGAAACTTTCAATGTTGTGTGTCCGACACCAAAGCAAAGCTTTGAAAAGTTCCTATAAAAAAGCATAGTGCATAGGGCGACAGCTGTAGTGAATAGGGCGAGGTAGATGACATCTAGATGTCGCCCTATGTACTACGTTTGCTACAGTGGAAATAGACGACACGCCATTTCTTTAAATAAAATTAATTGGTGCTCGTTTGTATGTACATACATATGTAAATGCATGTGTGTGCACCTTTCTATTAATATC